GCTTGATTGGCCCAAAATTCTAGCATAATATCATTTGGAAAGTGGAATTTTCCCTTAGTGAATTTCATCAGTACGCAAGAATCGACAAAAGAAGTTCCGACATAATTTGAATTTCATTAAGGTAAATTCGCCAAGTGATCTAGTCACTAGTCACTTTCAACTCTATTCCCCTCCTCTCCAACTGATTTTAGTTAGACTGATTGCGATATTTTCCACCCAGCAATCTGCTCCTATCAGCTGCAGCCGTAGTAATTTAAGGTTGTGTAGCACAGTGCTTCTGACTCTATGATTTAGATTGATACTATTATATATTTTGGGACCTCTCAAACAGAGCAATTTGCACATACATAGTTTGTACAACGCAGACTCAAAAGGACAAACTATGGACGTTTATCCGTCAGAGTAACCAGTTTCTGAAGGAGAAGGATAGAGGTCTTCCGTAAGGGGCTCTAAATGAACGGATTGCCGTTCCCGAGCGATGCGTTGATTGACTGTGTAGTAAGCTCCTGCCTAGTGTAGTTTTTCCCACCATTATAGCTTGTCGCTTATAGAAGGGACATGCAACTGTTAAGGGAAACGGCTAGGTCCATCTTAGTTTGGTGAAAGCTGTCAGTCAACCAAAGTGGTCTTTTGGGTAAACATAGACGGAGGAAATAACAGTTCTCAAGCAGCCAAAAAGGGTAATAAAGAGGAAACTAAACCAAGTCCAGACAGTGCATGAACTCTTTCAAAATTCTCATCAGCAGACAATTAACAGTCCTTGGTGCTGGGACCAGACATCCTACCCGCAAAATTCATAGCGGCAACAAGGGCACCGGAAGAGCCCAGAAACAGGAGCCGCCTCGCAATGTCCTCGGTGCTTGCGAGGCACCATGCACACCAGACCGTGAGTAAAGTGAATCCGTGATGAGCACTGCAATGCCATTTCTCCTGTCTGTCTTTAACAGTTTCATTGGTGTTTGACTAGCAACTCTTTCTAGCAAAACAAAGCTCTGCTCGGCGACCAGCAACGTTGCAGAACGTTTTAGTCAGTGGTATGAACATAATCCCAGCTACAAGATCAACCAAAATCTGGTAAAGTTCAGACGCAATGGATGCTGTTGCATAAAGCTGGCCGACGCCACTATTGCATGGCTAATGACTTGCCGAAAGTACACAAGCATGCATTTCGTTCAGAACTGACGTCTTGCCGCCTTGTACCTCCACGGACCTCTTAACAGAAGGGATATTTGGTTGTCTCAGGCTCCTTGCAAAATGTTCAAGATCAACGGTAGTCTTCACCGTTAGATGCCTTCAACGCATAAGAATCTAAACTGAAAGTAGTATGAATAAATGATAATCCACAAGTCATCTCAAGCTTGAGCCCCATTCAGCAGGAACTGCGGTTACCGGACTTCTGGTTATCTATATCCAGCCAAACTTGATTGCAAAAGTAGTTCTTAATTCAATCGAACACAGGTGTTAAACGGGATTATTAGCCTGTTGTTTCGACTAGGCGTTCACCGTTGTAATACATTTGCATTGAACACCTCCAGTAACTGTAAGCTAAGAATTATGATGTTCTCAAAAGCCACCAAGACCGAAAAAGTGTGGCAGCAACCCTTCCGTTTATAAAGGACACACGCTCTCCTCTAAAGGAATGAGTGTATATATACAGGACTCAAACTGCGGCCCACATATTGTGTTGCTGATGATTGATTTTCAGGTGTCAGTGGCACCAAAAGTAACATCAACTTTCCTTCAGCTTGTCAAATCCAACGTAGCCAACCATAGTAAGGTCAAAACGCCCCAAAAACACTGCTTCATATCAAACACCAGGTACAACTAAATAATAAGCTTACTTAACGGGAAGGCAGACAGGCAGATCCATCAGGGAGATGTGCGCTCAACTGCCCTCTTTGGAATTTGCTACTGATTACACAGGAAAGCTGCCGTTATTGCCCTCGACTCCATCAGAAGGCGTAAAACATCGAGGCAACAGACGCATAAAACTTCCTCAACAAGTGGTCGACCACCTTGACAGACCTGTCGAAGATCGGCTTAATGTTTGCGCAGTAAACTCTTTTGCAATGAAAATTTGACCCAAGCTAAAAATTAGTTTCCTCGTAGAAAATCGTCCTCAAACTCTCATCCGGTAACTGTCACCTCTGTCTAAAGGGCTGTTAAATAACTTCAAGGGCAGGGCCTTCTTGACTGGAGGAGGGAATCCTAGCAATTTCATTTGGTCTCGGAGTTTGAGCATAGAAATCCAACGGACGGACGCCTGGCGACTGACAACTGATAAGGATGACTCAGATGACCGTCTCAGACTTGTTTGTCGTCGCTGGGGGAGAAGCAGAACGTAACCCCAGGCAGCTCAGAGCCGACAGTTGAACCGTCGTCAATTACTTAACGAGCACGTAAGTGAACACTGACATACTTGTGCCAAAGAAGCATGCCCTGTCGGTTGGGGTCAGCCATTTTGGAATTAACACAGCAGCGGATTTTATCAAGTCACTCCAACTCGAACACGAAATGTATCTGATTCTGCTTTTACTGCAGAACGCCTTGACAAACTGACCTGCATTCCAATATCGAGCCTGTCTGCTACGACTGCGCAATGATGTCAGCTTTGCCGCACCCTATCATTCCAGGCTCTGTTGCCCTTATTAGCACAAACTCTAGGTCACTGACAAAAGTCTTGAGGATCAAAGTTGTCTTCGAAAGTAGGCAACACTTCTTTGTCGGTAAGACAGAAAACCATAGCACCGCACACAAAATCTACGGCATGACCCTTCTTCTGCCGTCAATTTTGCGTTTGCATTCTCATCCTATCTCTTCAAATTGGGTAGCGACAACCCCAGCAAAGTTACAGTCATATGCAGAAGTGTATCATCCACACTCCAAACTTACGGAAATAAACACTGGGGGAGGACATAGTGGTGAAAGTTAGAATCCACTGAGGGTTTGTTCCGGTGAGTTCAGCAGTCGCAGGAACTTGGATTCACATCTCAAAGTTATTATCCTCATTTAAATGGGTCTTACTTACTCTTCCTCGTAGCTGCTTCGTAACGATCTTGCGATCGCCACTTTATGACTGCAATCTCTGGCTGGCATAGAACCTATGTGGATGGGCTTAGAAAATAACATTCAAGGGGGCATTGACAGAGGATCGTCATATTTCTATTGCTGACTGGGCTTGTTGTACGACACACCCAAAATCAATTTATTGATTGCAAGGAGGTTATGATCAGAGAAAGCGCTGCGCGACATCAATTTTTATGCGAAGCAGTGTTAGGAGCACCTTCTCTCCGTGAGGCCGGAAGATAATGGGCATCTTCTATTGTAACAGATGACTTTGAGGCGCATTTCAGCAATGTTAGTTTGGCTAATCTATCGACATACATACAGATGTGCAATGCATATATTTAAATGTAACTAGGAGCCGTATATAACCTCTCTCCCTACACTAAACCGTCTCTCCCCTTACGATTACGAATTATCGAGATCAGTGAATATAGAACGCGGACCGGCTGGTAAATATCATGATCTTGAAGAAGAGTAAGGATAAGACTGTGGGACGAAGAACGTGACGTCTGGGCAGAACGACAAGATTAATCTGTTAACCCCCCCCCCTCCCCACCTGCGAGTCACCATCCCCTAGACAGTCTGGTTTGTCCTCTCCCACCCCCTCCCTCGTGTCTCAGGCCGCCTCCTTTCTGGACCCCCAATAGATTCGGCCAGGTTAAACTGTCAGATTAGACTGGTAACCTCCCCCCT